AGTTGAATTCTAAACCCACCACCTAAAGCCTGGCTCAGAATTTGCTCTAGCATCCCAGCATGTGTTCTGTTGATGATTTGATGATGACACTTGCTCACGGACTCCTGGGATGCACTGATTGTGTAAAATTAGATCAACCCTTATTGGGGTAACTGGTTTTCTTACCCCCAGAGTGACTCGTCATCTCCCTTGGGACGGGGGTGCTCTGGCCTTCTTTGGCGTGGACTGTGCTTTCTGCAGTTGGCTGATCCTCGACATGAGGGTCTGTCACACTCATGGCACCTGTTGTCACCTATTGGAGATGTAAATGAGGAAAAACAGAAAATAAACCCCAATGTTTACAATATCATTTTCTGCTTGGCAAAAGGAAGGTTTAAGGCAGGATACATAAATTATATGATGGCATCAACTGAAAGCAGAAAGAAGAAAAAACAACAGAAAGGGTAAGGATGGGAATAAAATCAAGTCTCCTCCAGAAACGAAGGTCAAATGTTTAACCTGGTGACTTCCTGGGGTCTTAGTTATTCTGACATCACTGCATGCTCTAGATGTTAGTTCTTTCCCTCCCTTGAACTTGGATTTTTCCCTCTAACATTTGCTTAGCACTTTTTTTTTTTTGAGACAGAGCCCCAAGCTGTGGCCGGGGGTGGAGTGTGGTGGCATCACAGCTCACAGCAACCTCTAACTCCTGGGCTTAAGCGATTCTCTTGCCTCAGCCTCCCAGCAAGTAGCTAGGACTACAGACGCCCGCCACAACACCCAGCTATTTTTTGGTTGTAGTTGTCATTGTTGTCTTAGCAGACCTGGGTTGGATTCAAACCTGCCAACTCCGGCGTATGTGGCTGGTGCCTTAGCTGCTGGAGCTACAGGTGCCGAGCCTGCTTAGCACATATTAGGCTATATCAATCCTTTAATGTCCTTCCCCCCTCCATTAGAGTTTACTGAGAGCCTACTATGTGCCAGACCCCTTGAAGACATTCTCATTTGCTCCATGCACCATTCTATGAGGAAGATGAACAAGGCTTAGATTAGATAGCTCCACCAAATTCATAGCCAGGAAGCAAAAGGGCAGGGCTTGGAAGTGATTCTACTGCTCTGAAGTTCACACCAACGTAGCACTCAATAAATACCCTAGTGAGCAGAGGCCACAGAAGCAAAAATGGACAAATGGGACCACACAAACGTTGGCGCCTCCAAAGACACAGGTAACCAAGGGAAAGACAACCTACAGAATGGGAGAGAATATTTACCAATCATCATCAGATAAGGAAAGAATTATATAACTCTATAACAAAAATCAACTTAAAAAATGGGCAAATCACTGGAATAGACATTTCTTAAAGGTCAAAAGAAGCATCTGGAAAGATGCTCAACATCACTAATCAGAGAAATGCAAACCAAAACCACAATGAGATTCTGCCCTCGTGTCCATGAGGACGGCTACTATCAAAAGCCCAGAAGACAGCCAGGTAGGGATAAGTTAGAACACTTGTGCATTATTGATGGCACTAGGGAAAACACTGTATGGCATTTACCCAAAAAGTTAAAAACAAAACAATGTTATCATGTCGCAATCCCTCTTCTGGATATATACCCAAAAGAACTGAAAAGCAGGGTCTTAAGGAGCTATTTTCAGGCTGGGAGCCCGTAGCTCAGTGGTTAGTGTGCCAGCCCCCATGCACCAGGGGTGGCGGGTTCAAACCCGGTCAGGGCCTGCTAAACAACAACAAAAAAAGAGCTTTTTTCACACCCACAGTGTTTCCTAGTCACGCTATTCACAACAGCCAGGAAATAGAACCGACCCAAACATCCATCAGTGGATAATGAACAGATAAATACAGTGTATACACACACACACACACACACACACACACAATGAAATATTCAGCTTTAAAAAAGAACATTCTGGGCTCGGCGCCTATAGCTCAACCGGCTAAGGCGCCAGCCACGTACACCTAAGGTGGCGGGTTCGGATCCCCAGCCCGGACCCGCCAAACAACAATGACGGCTGCAACCAAAAAATAGCCGGGTGTTGTGGCGGGCACCTGTG